TCCGCCCCTGAATTGTTTTGAGCATGTGAGGCATCTTCGACCACGAGTAGCAGCATGACCACCAGCGAGACCACGACACCGGTGGCCCTTTGCACCAATTAGTCGAGGGCTGCTAAATAGAGCTGCAAGACTGGTTTTTTGCTTATCCGAATGTGCCCAGCGGTGGTAGTCCGAGGAGACTTCTACTAGCAGCACAGCCAGTGAAGCTGCCAGCGAGACCACGACGCCTCAGGCTTCCAAGAGTAGCAAGTCATCAGCTCGATGTGCATATCGTTTCTTGAATACCTAGCAGTCGTCCCCTGAATAGGAGGCATCTTCGACGACGAGCAGTAGCATGAACATCAGCGAGACAACGACACCGGTGGCTCTTTGCACCAATTAGTCGACGGCTGCAAAAGACGGCCGCAAGACTTGTTTTTGAGATTTGCCAGTTCGGTTTCCGAATGTGCCATCGTTGGTAGTCCGCGGCCACAGCTAGCAGCAGCACAGCCGGTGAAGTTGCCCGCGAGACCACGACGTCTCAGGCTGCCCGGATTGATAGCCGTATGCTCGAGCGAGGCAGCATGTCTTGCACATGCATACAATGTGACACGCAACCGTATTTCAAACTCAGACTCGATTTGCCGGGTACGAATGTCGCTCGAAGTCATACGAACTGCCTGAACATACCTGGGCCCGTGCGCGAGACCTAGCTTAGAGGCTTTCAAAGTCGCACTGCGTATCTGTTTGTAACAAGGCATTTCGGGTGTGGACTTTGAGATCCGAAATTCTGGGCCTAGCAAACCCTCAGCCAACAATTCGAATCTGACTCTCGAACCGCAACTTCCGAATTCCCAGGCCTGGGAGCTCAAATCGGCATGTCAGGCATAGGTTTGGTATATCTGGCTTGGTATGCGTCAGGTGTGTGGCAAGTCAGGGATGCGCGTTGAGGAAGCAAGGCTTGCCGTGGTAGTCACGTTTTGAGCGAGGTTGCAACGACGACAACCACTACTAGAACAGCAGCGCCACCCACCAGTGCTCCCACGACGCCTGCAGTCCCTTGACCTGTGCGACTATGTGTAGCGTCGGTCATGGGGCCCCAAAAGTGGGCAAGGTTGCTTTCGAGGTCTGGCTCGATTTGGCAAAGCAGCAGCAAGAACGATCATCACCATGACGATTCTGTGTACACACGACAGCACAAAAGAACTTGCAGTATTGCAACGCCGGTACCTTTCTCTGGACTTGGGTCTTTCGTCTTCGGGCTGGGGAATGCCACATCTGAGGCCACGACAACCACCAGTACTATCAGTACGGCCTCTCCCGGGAACACGACGGAAGCGATTCGGATGCCCATGAAGCCCTAAACTCTCAGCGCAAACCCGAACCTCCGCCCCCCAGCTTTGAAGCGTGTGGACGTAGCCCAAATGGCGGAATCGAAGTGGGTCCAAAGTCCTTGAAACCTATGCAGTCATCGGAGCGGCTGAGCCCTACACCCTAAACCCTAAACCCTAAGCCTCACAATCGAGGCCTGTTGTTGGAAAGACTTAAGAGCCGAGGCCTCCTCCACGACCAGCACCAGCACCACGGGGCAGAGCGTCACCACGGAGGCCGCCTCCCTTCTCTTGGGGGCAAAAGAGAAGAGGGGCCGAGGGGCAAAGAGGCGCCTGCTTTGAGGCGCCGGGCCCTTAAAAAGGGCCCCCTTCCAGAGTTTCCGAGCTCTCCGACTCGAAGCCCGGAGATCATCCAAGCTCTGCAGCAGATGCCATCATAACAACGGGAGGTGGAGTCGGCAAACAGGGAGTTGCAGAGGCGACGGAAGGAAGAGAGGACACGAATGTACCTCGGGCAAGGCCTGCAAATCGAAGGAAGCTGGCCAAGAAAACGAATTCACTGTGCCACTCCTCCTGTCGAGGTGTGGGGTGCTTGGACGAAGGCGGGAGATGACGAAGACAAGGCCAAGTAAGCTGATGTGAAGCTTGCTTGTGGGATCATGCCTTCCCTGTAGCAGTCGCAAAAAAGGGAAGCTGCAGCTTCGGGAGCTGGACAAGCTCAGGGATCAGGGTTTGGGGCTTCACTCCTTCTGGCTGGAAAGTCTAGGAGTCTGGGAATTTTCGGACAGTTGGTCGGCTCTGGAGGTGACTGCATTTTTCTAGAGTTTCAGGGCTCGGCTGAGCACCGTAGTCTGCTCCAGCTCCCAAGCTTCTCAGGAGGCCCAAAAATGCACGGCTTGCGACCTCTTCCCGAATCTGTGTCTTCGGGTCAGCTTGAACTCTTTCAGCATTTGTGGTTTGGCTTTTATGCATGGGCAAGTCTGCGAGCTGGAGCGACAAAACTTTTGCCCTTGCCACGGAAAGCGCGCTCGGAACAGACGTCCTGTGTCTGTGTACGTTTCCAAATCGTTTCTGTTCGGAGAAGCTTACAAAACGCGTCTCGGTCGCAGTCATCGGAATGCAGAAGTTTGCTGAAGACTTGTTCCTGCGGGCCGCGATGCCGCCGGTCTCCAGCTCCTTACTTTTGGCCAAACTATGCAGCCTCTGCTATGCGACGAGCACCGCATGAACTGCATGGGCAGAGTGAACCCACCTGACTCCGTCTGTTTTTTCCTCGTCCTCCGATGCCGAGATGAGAGGATCCTGCAGGAGCTAATTATGAGCGTTCAATGGAACAGTTCGTCCATGCCGTGAAACCAAGGTTAAGGGGAAGACTAGGCAGGGTTTAAGCCAACCTCAGCTGCGCAAACCGATCGAAGCCCGAAGCGACATTCCTCCCTTCTCTCTCTTCCTTCTGCGGTTGTCGGAACTTGCAATAAGGACAGTTGCGACAGCAACACCCGGCCTGGCACCAGAAACTGAGAAGTCTGTAACCCCAGCCCGAAATGGTGCTGAATGTAGCAGCCCTCTCGGTCTTCAGGTCACGGAGAATGTCACGGAGGTGGGCTTCGGGTAGCTTTGTTGCTCCATATATTTAGTCATTTAAATAGCACTTGTGCATCGTGGGGCCTGGGAAGAGGCCCTCGCGCAGCAAGGACAACCTTCTCCGAGCATGCAAGTCCCAAGCTACCAGAACCTAAGTGAAGAGCTCCTTCTGCGACCAAGGGGTCAAACGCAACCGATGTGGCTTCTGAGGCCCGACTCCGATTTGGGATCCGGTGCTTGGGGAGTGCGTTGGACGGATTCAGTGATGACTGCAGCTCCCAAGCTTCAGAGCATTTTCTCGTGCAGAAGCTCCCGGCCCCTGCTCAGCGCTGCCACCCGAATCCGAAATCTGACCCAGGATCCGCACATGCGGAATGCAGGCCGCAGAGCACGTCACGGCAACTAGTACTAGTGGTACTAGCAGTAGAAGTAGAAGCAGGAAGTAGTACCAGCAGTAGTAGCAGTAGTCGTAACAGTGGCAGGAGAAGTAGGAGTAGCAGTGAGGCTGGCGAGGCCGTGAAAGCTGCCGGTGCTGCTGCCAAGGCCTTGCACACCCGGGTGTCTCGAAGAGGCTTTGTAGGGAATGCATTTGGGTCGAATTGGACTCCGACGTAGATAAGGATTGAATCATGGTCTTGTTGGATTTTGTGGGGAACTTAGCGTTTAGTGTTGAGTATTATCCGCTGTAAACGTGGCAAGACGGAAGCCGCGAGCAAGCAGACCCTTCCCATGGGATCAATGACAGGAGGCGAGATCGCCATGTAAGGAATGCAGCCTTGGAGGCTTGTGCATGGCTAGAATGCGTGCATTGTGAGGCTGCTGCTCTTCCTCGGTAGTTAAAGAAGATGGGTTCAAGATGCTTCAAGTAGGCATCACGCCGTGAAGATTTTCGTTCCGGCGGCGCCGTGAAATGGGCATGACGCGATTGCTGATGGTGCTTGTGCGCGTGCTGATGCTGATGGTTGGCGGATGATTATGAAATGGTGGTGATGGTGATGATGATGATGATGCCGGTGATGGTCGAGGGTATGAGTTCATTTCAGTAGAGGTTTCGTAGATCGGAGACTGGTGCTTCCGGACCCGTCGGGTGTTTGCAAAGTTGTCCTCTCGACATCATTCTCCTGCTGCTTGACTCTCCAAGCTCACTGCTGGAGGCTATTTGGGATGGCCTGAGGGGCTCGGGCAACGCCTCAGAAGTAGCCAACTCCACTGCCGCAGCTGCCGAAGCTGTGTCTTGGCGGCTCGGGGTTTATGGCAGAAGGGTTTAATATGACTTTGGTGCTTCCGGCTTGGAATCTTTTGGCAGCCCAGCTAAGAAGCTTCCTGGGGCTCGGAAGTCACAAGCAGTCCAAGGTCACAGAGGCAGCGAAGGCGGCGGCGAAGGCCATCTTCGGGCCTTCAGGCGTGGCCGGCACTTTCTCTTCAAGCCGTTTGGTTCTTGAGCGTCTTCAAAAGTTGCGTAACGTCTGTACAGGTCCGATAGCTACGGTAAAGAGGGGCGTGGCAGGCCAAACTTCAAGTTGAGGCAGTCATGAAAATAGCTCATGGCGTCCTGCTTACCACCATCATAACCATCACCTTCACCGTCAGCATTTTCATCTGTGCTGACCATCGTCATCACTATCATGACAGGCAGGACCATCATCAACAACAACCATGCAGATCATCGTTGTCGGCATGGCATCACAGTCTTTATCATCCTTACAATCGTTTTCAGCATCATGTACACCATCATGAATCATGACCTGATCTCCTTGTCAGCCTGAACTCCGAAGCATCGCAAAGAAGCTGCACACCACCTTTGAAAAGCTAGCTGCAGCAATTTTGTTGCTGATATTGCTGACAGCACTGGTGTGACTGCACTTGAACTTGCGAAGCTGCCACTGCTGCAGTTCCATAGCGACCTCTGAAATGCATAGTTCCAACCTGCAGTCAGGGTACTCACGCCTCTCCCACCTCCGACAACCAGTGGCCAAGGGCAATCCGAAAATCTGGGTGCCAGCCAGGCCCGAAGACGACGGTCCAGGTCACCATCGAGGCCAACTCCGTTCCCGAGGCATCCTTGAGCTGCAAGGGCTAGGGGTTTGAGGTTTAGGGTGTACGTCGACGTAGGGAACGTAGGGTTTAGGAATGGAGTCGAAGGAAGGGGTTTGGGCCTCGAGAGTCCTTGCTCAACACCATCCCCGGACCCCAAGCTTGCAATTCCAGCGAAGCTTGGGAGTTTTGTGTTGGAGGGTGCGGAAGGTCTGAGTGTCGGTTCACAAGGATTGCGATTCCCGCCGGAAGAAGGGGCGTGGGGTTTAACACGACCCGAGGCGTCAGAGCAGGTTTCATTTTCAGGTTCAGGAAGGGGGCTTCCGATGTGGTGCTTAACATAGAGAATTGATGTAGGCGATGGTCAAGTCTGGGGATTGGGTACCCGCTCTTCTGGGTTGCGGCGGTCTTCGTGTATCGGGGAGAATAGCTTGCCCTCGTTATCTAGGCTTTTTCTTCAGGTGTTGGGAAGCCGGTGCCATGCCCTGGCGTCCCATGGTGCCGGAACCATCGCCCTTTTTTTTCGGTGGTGCCCTGAATGTTGGGTTCCATATTCGCCGTTCAAGCTTGCGAGCAGCAATCACAAATCAAACTCAGAGCTGTTGGAAAGGAGGAGTACCTGACCACTGGCGTTCAAGTGAAGCGCCCCGGCCGTATGCTGATGACGAGAGATCAGGTCGTTGCGACTTGTTTCCGGTTTGATTTCTGATGCAAAGGCCCACCCACATGATGATGGTGGCCTTCGTGCATGCTTCCCCCAGCCACATAGATTTAGGGGCCTTCGGTTTTCGGTTGAGCCAAGCTCTGGGTTTCTGGGTTTTGGCTGGTTTGGTTTCGTGTTGACCCAGATTTGCAAAGCATGCAGCATTCATGCCTTTTGGAATTTGGGGGAACGAGCATGAACTGCTGTCAATCCTGCGCTTGCCCTGCAGCTTCTCGCAGGTTCCATCCTCGTTTCATTCTAGCTGAAGCTCTCAGTCCTTCTGAAAGCTAAGAACGTCGAGATCTGTGAGCCCACTTCCGGGCGGATCGGAGCTGAGCCATGGGCTGTGTCATGCCGGGGCCGGCGAAGGGAAGCTACGAGTCGGTGATGCAGCACCTGCCTCCCGACGCCCGGCGGCGGCGTACCTTGCTTCCCGGGTGTTGAAACAATCCATGTCATGGTGTCTACCATCTTGTCAACCCGACGGCCACATCTGTCAGTCCCGCACTCTGCTGGCGGTGGCCAAGCTGCGATGCTTCAGCTTCAACCCCATCTTCCCGAATACGTTATTGTAGGCAATACGAGCAGCAGGAGCTTCGGGAGTAGGTTTGGAGGACGAGAAGCAGAAGCAGAAGTAGCCGTCGTCGTCGTCGTCGTCGTCGCGGTCGGAGTAGCAGTTGTCGTCTGCGCCGTCTTAGTGTGCTGTTAGTATTGCCTTTGTACTTTGCTGCTGCTCTTGCTAGCGTTGCAAATACTATTATGCGATTACGACGACTGACAAGATCAAGAGGACGACGAAGGCTGTACGGCTACCACCACCATGACAGCCCAAGCCACCAGATCTCAGAGAGCGCCCAGGACATTTTTCGGGTCGGCATTTTCGGGAGCACTGAGCTTCTGGGCCGCAATTAGCACATCACTTTGTTGTGGCTATTGGCAATGATTGCTTACATGGTGGCGGTTCCTATCGCGTTGCCATCTGTATTCTCTTGCCATTGCGTCGGAAAGTGAGTCATCACGTGAAGGTCAGGCGAGGGTGTGCCCGGGAGATGCTGTGTTGTTTGCTGCTGAGGTCTAGTATTGTCGTGTGCAGGCTGTGTCCTGCTGCAGTTTAGTTCTTTAGTTGTAGATGTGTTGGCTTTCGGAGAAACAAGACGTTTCCAGAATCCATGCTGGAAACGAAATCCCCAATCGAGGTTCCACCAGGCCACCAGTGCTGCCTTGTGTGCTGCGATTGGCCAGAAGCTGGGGTCAGAGGCTGGCAAATATCTAAATGCTTCTGAAAGCGCAGACCTTGCTGCAAGGTGGCTCAGCCAAGTCCTGCCCAACTCCGGCAGCTCCACCATCAGAAAGAAGAACCAAAGCCGAGTGTAACGGCCCAGCATTCGCAAGCCCAAATGCTGAAATGCATTTCTCCACAGGCCAATCCCCTTCTGAAAGCACAGCCGTCTGTTGCTTCAATTGCCAAAGTCCAGGCTTTGAGCATGTCCAAGCTGGAATCCTTCCGCCTCTACACCTCTCAACGGAAGACCCCTTGGAACCTTCAAAACCTTCAGCCCTGTTTCAAAGATGGAGGTGGGTGGTCGGTGCATCCTGCTCACGGGGGGAAACGCCGTTGTCCACGAAGCAGTGGCGCGCCCCTTCTTTAACGAGGCAGGATGGTTCGGGCTTGGGTCCGCTAGAACGCTTAGTTCGTAGAAATGTGATATCTCAGGACAAATACCCATCCCTGCGAGGTGGGCCGAGACCGATGCGTGTTCCACCTCTGCCCCCTTGGCCGTGTGTGCCACTTCGACTTCGGCGTCATCGTAGGCTGGTAAGAGAGAAAAGGTCAGTTCTTTCGGGCTCGACGCTTTGACGGGCTCTGTTGAACCCTGTTAAAGTCTTGCAGCGGGCTTGGGGCCCAGACGGGCCCAACATGAGGCATGATGCAGGTGCGAGGGGCGTTTGGACCTTTCGCCCTCGATCCGAAGCCAACCCGGTAAATCCCGACATAGTGGTGTGCAGGTGTCTGCATGTTTCGTAAAGGGTTTCGTTGGGATTACATGCCTTTTTTGGCGGGACCTGCGGCTGTGACAGGTGCCGGCAGTGACAGCAACGAGCGGCGCGAGATCTTCGCGAGGAGCTGCAGCGCCTGTATCGCCGTGCCTCGGATGCTTGCAAGACATATCTCCAGTCTCGGATTTCGTGCTGCTATACTTCTCCTCGCAGTTATTGCTGACAGCACGATGAACACATGTCTTCTTCGTCTTCCTCCTTCTCTGGACTTGGTTCTAGATTGGCGGCCCTCTGCTGTCTCTTTATTTACCCAAGCCTTGCGGTGAACTTCAAGTCGAATCCGCAGGCGCAGGCTTTACCCTGAAGCCCTCGAGCCACCTACAACTCCCGACACAACGTAAACCCTCCCACATCTCAAATTCCTAGACTCCTAAAGCCTAAACCACAAACCATATGGGAGGAAAAGAGGCGTCAACAAAAACCCTAAACTCCAAATCCCAAAACCCAAAACCCTAAAACCCTGCATCCTAAACCCTCAAGCCCTCAAAAAAAGCAAAACGAAGTCCTTGGCCCCCTTCGAAGGTGGAAGGGGGGCCTGGCACAATGGACGAGATGTGCCCCGCTGAGGTTTTGTGGCGCCGGGGTCGAGTGAGGGTTTAGGGCATTTTAGGGTTTAGGGTTTCAGGTGCTTGTTGGGATTAATGGTTTAGGTTTTTGCGTGCTTTGGGTGGAGGCCTTAGTGTGATTGAGGGCTAAGGTCGAGGGGCAATGAAGATTTCGGGGTCTGTCTGTACAGGCACGCTTTGGGTTGCTAGCGTCTTTGATCGGTCTAGAACTCGACAGCTGTTGCTGCAGCAAAGGGCTGAATGGACAGGTGAACATTGTGTCTTGCGTTTGGAGGTCGGGTGTCGAATTTCGGTTTCAGGTATTAGGTATAAGTTAACGGATCAGGTATATGCAAGGCCAGCGCCAGCGCCAGCTAACGGTGATTGCAAAGCATGGATGTAATCATAGATAGATCCTTGCAGTACCTTCAGTCGGCGTGTTGGGAATTTCGAAACTGAACTCAACCCGAGAATCCGAGTCCTTCCACAGCCCGAGCTCCATGTAACCCCAAATCCTCCCAAATCACCTGCGGACACGCATGGACCACAAAACCGACAACACCAGGAAACTGGCCCTCACGAACGGCGTGCCGGTCTTGGCCGTGAAGAGGAGTGGTGGGGCTTCGGAGGAGATCTACCACAGCTTCCCAGATGGTCTCCCGAAGCCCCGAGGTGACCGAATACAGGGTGTGGGCCAGAAAGCGCAACATGTAGTCAATGTAGTCTTCCATTTGCTGTAAAGAGTGTTTCTATCAGTTCGTCCCAGCTTACGGGGTGTTCCCCTCCACCCCAAGACGTGAAGGATGCACAAGCCGACGATTCAAACGGCATGCCTTCCGAGTCCTTCAGCCCCACACCCAGCTGCGAGGCGTTGACAAAGCGCTTTGGGACAGGCTGAGCGAGGAATCAGGGACCCCGGAGGAGACGGCCGAAGTGGTGGTGAAGCTCGGGCTTGCATCTCAGGCAGGTTCGTCAAGTAAGCTCTGCTAAGTCTTTTGGAGTTCTTCCTTTGTTCCGACATGGCCTCACCTTCTCAAGCACGACAGCCCGAACCGCAAGTCCTAGTATTCCCGCCAAGAGCAGAACTTTTTGTCACATAAACCCGAAGGCCACGAAGCGCATTTTACCACATCGAAGGAAGATCATCGGTGCGATGCTGCTTGAGGCCCTCCGCGATGATCAGTCGCGAAAGGCGGCTCGAATTTAGCATCTACGGTGACCGCAGAAAGGCGAAGAAGAGGTTCCCGGAAAGCTACCATACTGGAACTTCTTCAAGCATTCAATGTCGACGTACACTCTTCCAACTCTAGGCTTACAAGCCATGAGCAACCTCTCAGGCCTTTTTCCCAGGACCGTGTGAGGCTGTTTCGATTTCGTAACACTCAACCTTACGGCGAACGCAATTCGCATGTGGGTCAGCACCCCAAGTTGTGCTGTCCAACGTGCAAACGCAGTCTCGAACCGGCTGTAGGCGCGAACTTCATGCTATCAGCAGGAGGTCCTGAGTCCAAAACTATACAAAGTCAGCGAGCAGATGCTCGCCACAGAATCTCTCCATGTAGATGCTATCAGATATCATTTTCTTGTCCTGTGCCTGTATCTATGATGCTATCCGATAGCGTTTGGGAGTTCGGATGCTGCGAGGAGGCGCCTCGAGAGCCCCAAAGGATGGGCTTTGCTTCTTAGCCTCTGAAGGGCCGGACATGCACAAGAAGGATGAGGCAGCTAGTCATGACATGTAGAGTCGTAGAGTCAATGTAGGGGCTGCGACAGATCTTTACAAGATGAAGTCAGATGAAGGTTGAGGGGACGTCCTCTCTGCTGTCTACCATCCGGGGCTGCGATGACTGTCTCACTTGCACGGAAGCTGTGGAAAAGTGGAGCTCCTTTTCTGAGGGGTTTGCAGCGAAAACTTGCCAGACTCCGGATCTCCCCAAAAGCCAAAGAGCCGCGCAGGCCTATCCGAGCCTGCAAGAGTCGTAAGCAAGCGTGCACCTCCAGCACCGAACACAGGGAAACAGCACCTGCAGCCACCCGACAAGTCGAATGCTAGTATTATTGTTACTACTATTATGACTAGTATTCCTCAGTTAGGCATCACAAGGGAGTTTCGTGCCACTCTAGGCGAACAAAAACAGTTCAAGCTCCCAGGCAAGTTCAAAATCCTGGGCCTGCAGAGGTTCTGTGCAGGACATTGGGCAAAGGACTCCTAAAGAATCGACTGTGCACCCCAGAACGCATGAACCCTTACAGCCCCCAAAGGCTGGAAGCCAACAAGCAAATCGGTACGCAGCCGAGGCTCAAAGCCACTATGCAAACCTTGGCAGAGGCAGCACTGAGGGTGAGGGTTTAGGATTCGGGTTGCAGGCCTTTTGGATTTTCAGGGTGAGTCATGGGATGGAGAGTTTCAGGTACGGTATTAGAGTACCTGAGCAACGGCAGAAAGCGAACAAGCTTCCAACGAACAGGCACAAGAACAAACAATCACACAGTCCAAGGGACACAAGGGTTTCGCAAGTAGTTGCTTTCGGGGAGCAGTAGTTTAGTGTCAGGGTCCGTTGTGATTATCCCACCTCGTTTTCATGATGTCTAGGGAGGGGACTTTCGGCTGTGCTCATGCGCAGTTCTACACTTGAGGATTGTTTCACTCACTCCGAAGCAGAAGCTCCCAGCCCGGGGAAGGCTTAGAACCTAGAGCTCTTTTTCATGATGTCTCGCCCGGGCCGGTTGTCCACATATGGCTCAGAGCCGCACAGTGTATGTCAGTTTGCAGTGAATCAACACGGTCCGTCCACCAACCAGTCTTTTGCCACAGGCCAAAGCTCATGCATAAATCCCAGACATTCATACAGCCCCAAACATTCATACAAGCCCAAACCTTGCCCAGGAGCTGGATGCGGAGGCGGGCCACGCCGATGCAGACACCGAGTTAAAGCTGCGAGTGATGGCCATGGATGCTGTGAGGCCTGCCCATTGCACCCTGATCTTCATGTCAGTACCCGAAGCTTTCATGAAGACTATGTCATACGCTGTAAGCCGCTGTAAGATAGAGCTGCTGAAGCCGAGGGATCAAGGGCGTTCCCAGATATTTGGAGCGAATGTTTCGAAAACGCGAAGACCAATTCCAATATGTTAACATCGGCCCCTCTTCCCCTTTAAGCGTCGTAAGCCCTTGCCGTCGAACCATCAGCGCAGAATCCTGCCGCCTGAGATTCCTAAAGTCCTGAAGTACCTCACTTTTCACCTCAACGTGGACTGCTAGTCTCTGTCGGGCAGCCCTGGCCGACAACCCTGAAACTTCGTAAGAGAAGGCAGAGTCGTGGCTTGCTGGATGGCACCATGATGCATCCCGCCTTGAGGAGTTGGGAATGAAATCGAAGTGACAACAAGGTTATCGAATCAAGGGGTGCGAGGGGTTCAGGGTTGAGGATTTAAGGGTTGAGAAGGCTTGGAGGCGTGTGTTCAGTGGGACAGGCATTTCGATATTTTGGATGTGAGGCCTTGCCGTTTGGGAACCCGCCACCAGCCCCCCCATTCATATGTTCTTCGGAGAGTTCGGTTGTATGGCCCAAACCACAGGCACCGACACCAGAAGACTTTGCAGTTTGCAGTTCCTTGCTGCCACAATTGGACATCTGGAAAGAAGTGCAACTGCTACAGTATTCACCCTAGACCGTCAGTAATTAACCTTTGCTCACGGTTTGTGCAGATGGTGCGGGACTGAACAACTGTGTCATAAGTTGGCCAAAGCCGATTCAAAATAAAACCGCAAAAGCCTCCCTTGCCGTACTACAGGTGTTGCCACATCAGAGCCCTGTTGCAAACCCCGTGCATCTCCTGAAGAACGGAGCTCCATGCGCAGCACCCGCTGTTCCGAGGCGTTTGGTGGCCTTCAACTGCTCCGCCCCGGGGCTCCGGAGCTTCGAGCTGAGCACGGGCGTGGACCTGCAGAAGGCTGGGTGTAGTAGGGCTAGTAGGGCAAGGTGCAAAGGTCGTAACGGAGCTTTATCTTGAGGAGGTCTTTCTAGTTGCAAAGGTGCCACACGAAACAATTGGCGCCATAGCTGAACTAAATAAATGACTTTCCAGGAAGAAAGGGAAGGGTGTCTTTCCAGATCTTAAGTTTGAGGAGGCCCTGCTGTTAGTTGCTTGCCCGGCATCGGCACGCATGGCGCTGGCGCTGGAAGTCACTCTCCTGAGTGGCAGCAGCACGACCGTGCGGCTTCAGCCAGACAGCACCATTCACGAGCTGCAGGCGCGCGCTCAGGTTCATTTCGGATTTGGGATCCACCACCTGTGCTCACCGCAGGGCGTGATCCTGCACGGCCCCTCCACCTTGGCGGGTGCCGGCTTGAAAGATGGCGATCAGGTGGGGTGTTGTCTGCGCCAGACGATGGTGGTATCCCACTTTTCATCCCTCCTGGCCAGCGGCGCTCGCTGGCCATATCTTTCCTTCACGGACAGCGACGCTTTCGCTGTGGTGCGACCTGAGGGAAACATTGTTGTCTGGGGGGATGCGAAGTCCGGAGGCATGTGCCGTCAGTCCTCTGAGCTGTGCAGTTCCAAACTCGTGCACCAAGTTGGGGCCTCGCAGTCGGCCTTCGCCGCGATCTGCGCTGATGGCACCGTGGTTAGCTGGGGCGACCCGACGGCCGGCGGCGACAGCTGGCTGGTGCGAGAACAGCTCTGTGGTGTCAAAGACATCAGGGCCTCTGCCTTTGCTTTCGCTGCCCTTTGCAGCAATGGCTCTGTAGTGGCCTGGGGGGATGCCAGCTATGGTGGAGACTGCAGCCTTGTCCAAGACCATCTCCATGATGTGCATCAGTTGTGTGCTTCGCAGGGTGCTTTTGCTGCTGTGCGGGCAGATGGGAAAGTGGTGACTTGGGGCGATCCAAGCAGTGGCGCTGACAGCAGCATAGTTCAACAGGATCTCCAAGGAGTCCGTGACATCTCGGCTTCTTTCGGCGCTTTCGCAGCCACGTTGGCCAACGGCGCCGTGGTGACGTGGGGTGACTCGGCAGGCGGCGGCGACAGCAGCGGTGTGCGCGAACAGCTGAGAGCGAACGTTCAGCGGGTCTGGGCCTTCGCTCGCGCCTTCGCGGCCCTTCGGGCAGATGGGACCGTGATCACTTGGGGGGACAACGCCTTTGGAGGAGACAGCCGGGCTGTGTGCGAGCAGCTCAGGAATGTGCAGGAGATCGAGTGCACCATGTTCGGTTTCGCGGCGCTCCGGAGCGACGGGAGCGTCGTGACCTGGGGTCGAGCAGACAGTGGAGGCGACAGCAGCGCTGTCCAAGAACAGCTGCAGGACGTCCAAGTCCTCCGCGCCACAGAAGGTGCCTTCGCGGCATTGCGCCGAGACGGCCGGGTGATCACTTGGGGCAACCCCGCGTGCGGTGGGGATGCCGGGGACGGAGTGCTTCTGAGCTGCGTGGATGGGCTCTGTGCGAATGAGGGTGCTTTTGCCGCAAGGCGCTTCGATGGCTCCGTCGTCACCTGGGGAGATGCTCGGAGGGGTGGAGACTGCGGCTCGGTCGTCCGTGAGCTTTTCGGTGTGCAGGACATCTGTGCTTCCTTCCATGCTTTTGCAGCGGTGAGGGCCGATGGATGTGTCGTGACCTGGGGCACAGAGCAGTCCGGTGGCGACAGCAGCCTCGTCCGAGAGCAGCTGGGACCCTGCTAAGACCAATATCAAGTGCAGCATATGATTGGCTCACAGAGCCTCTGGTTCCGTGCATCAGGGTGTGCTTGCTTGCCAGGTGGCAGGGTGGTTTCAGGGTCCATTCGGGAGTGGAGTGCATGGAGAAAATACATGGCTCCCCGAGCCAAACCTCATAATTTGCAGGCAGCCAACGACCAAGAAAAGCGCATCCCTAGGCCCTACAGGCTTAGTTCCTAAATTCTGGAGCAGCAAAGCTTTTTCGGCTTGACTAGGACGTGGGAAGCCACGCCGTCATGGAGACTGGCAAACCCGAACCCCCGACTTCCGTAGCATTCCTGGCAAGCTTTTTAGAGTCTCCGAGCTGCTGAGTTGTCAGGATTCGGGGTCAGGGTTAGCGATTTGCGAACGGGGTGCTCGCCACGTCAGCGAGTCATTACGAGGATCCTGCTACTAGGGGCGTGGGGTCCCGTCCCTGCCTTCGGGAGGCATTGCACGAGGTCACCACGACGGTGGACGGAGTTTGTGCAGCTGGACGGAAGCAGAGTGTAATAGGTCGGAAGAATTCATTTCAAAAAGAAGCCCAAAGCCCAAGTCTAGTTGTTGAGGTTCTTATACCAGAATTTTCGAGCAGTCGGAACCCCCCCCCCGGAAGCTTCAACTCTGCAGCCCCCCGAGTGCCAGAAGCCTAAATCCTGAGCCTCGGGCCTAAGACTAGACAGCCTCGTTGCTCTGGGTGGTGTGTAGGCTTAGGGTTTGGGGGTTTCAGGGTCTCAGGGTTTAGTATGGATGGTTCCATCGCCTGGGGTAGATCAGAAGAGTTTCTTGAGGTTTGGGGATTTCCGCAGACTCAAACATCACTTCGAAGATTTTCAGGTCTTGAAAGGCAGTCCCAAGGCTGCCGACGTCCAGGCTCAGAAGGCAGCCAGTGGGATCAAAGGAAGTCTCAGGGTTTGTGGGAGCTTCGAATGCTACTTCGAGTTTTTCTTGGCTCTTCGAGGATACTATTCCGCCGGGATTGTGCGAACATTTGTGAACTCGGCCCAGGGTCTTACAGTGTCTTGTGCGCTTCGCGACGTCTTGCGTGCGCGGCATGTAGGCGCCGGAAGGGTGAAGGCGTTCCCTGATTGAGGGAAGCTAAACCCGTGAACCCTATAAACTGCAGCATCTCGCAGGTGTTGGACACCGCGCTGCTCCAGGCCGTGGCGCGCCAGCGCGCAGCAGCGGCAAGCGAAACGAAGAAAGCAACTCTGACAGCGTTTGGGTTAGGGCTGAGGCTTTGCTGGGTGTTGAGATCCAGCGTGCTTCGAGCTTGGGCTTTTGATGGATCTTGTTGTGAAGAGCCGGGACAGCGAGAAATGGGATTGCAAGCATGTCAGATGTGGGATCCGGGAGTTTAGGATTTGGGACGCAGGGTTTGAGTTTTGCCATCGGTCTCTGATAACACTCATTGTGTGCGGGGTTAAGGCAAGGAGCTAGGATCTCAAGCTGTTCGAGGTCTGGCTGTTTGCCGGTCGCCCCATGGAGATCGGCACCCCAAGACACCCGAATACCTTGAGCCCCCATCCACAACTCCCTACAACAGGAGGAACAGAGATAACACCACCTTCCTTCAAAGCTATGGAGTGACTGGGACGACAAAGAAGCAAGGCTGTGCGCCATGCGCACACGGCGCTCAAGCAGTTGCAGTCGGAGGCACCGGGTTCGCCGAGCTTCTTAGCTCTTCACGTCTGTGCATGTAGGGGGTCATCGCGGAATCTACCCGCATGTCTGTGCGCAGCTTCAGAACCCTCAAGATAACGGCAGTATTGGGGTCGGCATTTCACGGATGCCAGCCCGTGATTTCCACGGCCGGAGCAAAGCCCGTAACCCTTTCGTCTCGTCCATGATCCGAAGACTCCCCTACCCTACCCCAGGGCACGAAGCCCTCAAGACGGAAACACACGCTGCTTGTCATTGAGACCCAGGCCGAACCTTCAATCCCAGAGCAAGCGAGGTCTATCAATTCCAAACCGCCACATGTTCACTCCTTCTGACTTCTCCACGCCGAATAGCACTGATACCGATGTCAGCTCAGGCGAAGTACGGCATCAAATGCAAGCCATAACCCCCAATCTTTGACAGTAGATCTTTAAGGCACCCAAAGGTACGGAACCGCTCAGCCCTGATCCTGGGCATCTTGGCAGGCCCTTCAGATGCAGCCGAATTCGACCTTGCTTAGGGCCGTGAAAGAGGCGCGGGCGGGGATCCCTTGAAAATCTGGCAGAAATTGGCAGACACCACGGAACGGCTATGCACCACAATCTTGCACGCATCGCATGGACTGTGATCTGCCCGTGCAGACTTTCATCTGCTCACCGAGCTCAACTACATATCTAATTGCAAGTCTGCATCCTCAACCCGAAGCCTGGCCAAGCCGCCCAGCCCTCAGAGCATACAGGCCCTCTAGCCACAACCCGAGGCCTTTCTTTGTTTTTGCATTGGATAGGGGCTGGATCCTTTGAGCGACCGGCTGTGCAGAGCAGGTCTTGGCGTCTCGCCGCAACAGCTCGGAGTCCCTGGCCAAGGCCATTGAGAAGGCGGAGAGGGGTTGCAGATTTTGCGGGGTGTAGGTTTTCCCTAAGCCCCAAGCCCTGGAGGACCAGGTGTGTTATTATTATGTGCTGACATTTTGATTCGGAATGTTTAACGAGTTCGGGTTCGAATCCTGAGGGTTTGCTTTGACGTCCGTTGGCGGCTGTTGGCTTCCGGAGCCCGTAAGCTTCGTGGTGGGTACAGAAAGCCCGATCAAGATGAACAAAAAAGAAACCGAGAGGTCCGCAGGGAGGAGTTCTACATAAATCGGTAGATAGCCAGACATGAAGACGTAGCCAGATGAGCACACATGCGCTTATGGGTCAGGAGAACCTTGTACTGATTCTTCCTGCCTCTCCCGTGCTCTTAGTTGAGGTGAATGCCACGATGTCACCCAAGACCAAGGTCATCCGGACTCAGCTGCTTGGTCTTCACCGGCACATAGAATCTGGAACTGGAGCTCCTGCCCAGGTCCTTCTATGTTACTTGCAACGAACAGCTTGCTCGGTTGCCTCAGCACTCGAGTACTTTGACAGAAACTTGAAGTCAAGTCCGCAGCAGCCACAACATGCCATGATTTGCTAAAGAACCCGCGCAGGCACCTCTGCAGGGTTTCCTAATTTTTGAAGGAGAATTTCATCCCCTTTTAGGGTCAAGTGCTTTTCCGGGCGAGGGTCCTGTGTAAACCGCCTCTGGCTCTCCATGCCCGACAAGAGTTTCTGGCAAAGATCAGTGCTTTGGCATTCTGCTGTGGCGTCAAGGTTGGGGTTTCGAAACACGGTACGGGGCTCATGCTGTTTCTGTAGATGTGTTTACATTCAGATCGAGGCTGTCACTCTTCTTCAGCGAAGAACTTGGCTAATGTCATGTAGTCACAAGCCAATCCCCGCTGATGGTCCAAGATTTGGGATAAGCCCGAAGCCCTCAACCCGTTTTGGGGAAGTTTCTGAAGGTGTGGTGCAGGAAGCCGTCCGTTCACGGCCTTGCATCGGGCTTTCCTGAAACTGTGTGGCGAACATGAAGCAAACCCAACTCCTAAGCCCTCAACCCGAAATCCCCCCTAAACCCTAAGCCCTAAATCCAAAACCCTAAACCCTAAACTTCCCAAAACCCTCAACCCGGAATAATCCTCAACCCTGAGCCCTAGTCGTTTAGGGGCTGTTCTGCACCTCCCAGGATGAAGACGACGCTGCTCGAGCGCCTCCGGGTGCATCGGAACCTGGCCCTCTTTGGCCTTCAGGGCACCCTGGAGGTGGCTTGGGGGCTATAACATAATGTAACATAATATTATATGATGTAATATAATATAACATAATATAGTTTAATATAATACAATATATTACTATATAATACAATAGTCCCTCTGGGAGGGTGTTTTGGGATGTTTGGAACTACAGCGGTCTTGAGCATTGACAAGCCTTGAGTTGAGGCATGTTAAAACCGAATTCGAGACTAGAGATGCTTCTTGGTTGCGTTTTGAGTCTTTCATGCGTGGATGGGTGGATGCGTGGGTGAGTGAGCTGCTCCGTGAGTGTACTTCATGCGGGACCTGCCGACCGCAAGGCACTTTTGGGGCCAAGTCCCAGCGTCCTGCCACCTTCAATCAGCAAATTAGGGTGAGGAGTCGCTGTGTGCTGCCTCCGTCCATGCTGTTATCTGCCGGTGGTGCTTTCTGATTTGTGTTATTCCCGATTCGGCAACAGTACGTCAGTACGCATTGAGTATGATGCTGAGAGGGGAGGCTGAGGCGCATCTTCAGGGTGCAGAATGCTGAAGATCGTAGGTAACCATGAGGTGTAGCTGTTCAGGTCTACAGGGTAGCCTTCAGGGACTTGATATTTTCCCTTTAAGAGCTGCCAAGACTGACTAAGGGCCGTTTCGTGTTTCATTCCTCGTCGAAGTAGCTGAGCATTTTCCAGTCTTGAAACCCCGAAACCTTGAGTCCGAAACCCGAGACCCCTGTGTGCCGCCATGTGCAGGCGGGGGCCCGCTTTGCAGGCGGCTTGCGCCAGGTGCGACGGGTTTCAGGAGCAGGAGGTTTGCGCGTGCTGGCTGTGTCGAGTTGAAGATTTGGTCCAGATTCTTCAGGGTGCAAAGGTTGGGGGCTAAACGTGTAGGTTTTGTGGAGAGCACCAGCAATGGCTGATTTTCGAGAGCCCAGCAGCCAAGACATACGAAGAAGCAAGCAGGATGGTACCTAGGCCACAGCTTTGACGCGAAGGTTTATTAATGGTTTCTGTGTTTGGGCACGGCCTCGGCAGGTTCTGCCAGTTCCCAGCCTCGGTGGCTGGGCCGTACAACTCGGGGAGGCGGCCCGGGCCCTGGCCGGGATCAGGGCTTGCCAGGGTTCAGGGATTAAGGTTTCATTGAGGGTTTTTTTGCAGATGTGTTCTGGTTGGGGGGTTTATTTTTTTTGGGTCTCGGGATTTGGGCGTTGTTGGTTCTTCAGTGTTTAACGGTTGGGGTTTGGGGTTATACATGTCTGGGAGCAGGATTGGTCTAGGCTGGTTTCATGTTTTATTGGGTCAAGGGTGAAGAAATCGAAAGTTTCAGGTTGAGTGTTGTCACTTGTGACGCCATCTTATTGGCTGTGCATTGTACTGAGCACATGCTTGGGCTTCCGGGGCTTTCGTGGCGCTTCGCGTTGGGTTTTCCGGGATTGGGCCTAAGTCTTGCATTGGACTGGTCACGGGTGTTGGGGCCTTTCTCTCCTGAATCGGAGACCCTTGTCCCGAAAGCCTAAGGCAAAATCCTGACGCCTGAATCGGCATTCTAGGGTCCACAGCTACAACCATAGATGTCCAGAGCTTCTTGTGCCGAGGAGTTGGGAGTCAACAGGACGTTGGAGGCGTGTGAACCGATGCCTGGGTTCTTTGATGTGTTGATGTCCCAGAGCTCTGAACTTCGCAATCCTCGGCCGAGGGTCCGTGACCATGCATGTTGAGTCGTGCTGCTGCTAGGAGCTGGTTGACACCAGAAAGCTTGCCCTTGGGGGGCCTCTTGCTGTCCAGGCCTACAACTCCTTCCGCGCAGCAGCCGCCGCCGCAGAGGATGCGAAGGCACAGCAGGGAGTAACCGACCATGATCAGAGGATTCATGGGCGTGCTTGCAGCAACGGCAGCTACGACAGCAGAGGTCTTCTTGTGCCCGAGCCCTTGCAAACGCTAATGATGAAAGAAGCCTCGCCCGAATGCCGCCAAGCTGCGGAATCTATTTTGAAGCGTTCATGTTGTAGCACTCAAGTAACCCGTGCATTGAGAGCTGACAGCCTTCACTCCTTCAAGCCACTCAGCCATCGAAGCCCAGCCTTGCCAAAGCAGGACAAGGCAGAGACAGTGAAGGTGGAGTCCGAGAAGGCGGGTGCATTCCTCACGCGGGACTTGGGAGGTTCGTTCGACTCGGGTGCTCCTTCTTGGCTGGTCTCTTCTGCATCTACCATGCCTATGTATAGGGAGCCGAGAAGCAAAGACGCCTACTTCTTACGGTTGAGCGCGGTGCGGGGTTGAGGCTTCGGGATGCGATGAGTGATGGCGTTTCAGCTTTGCTGGCCTGGTACATCTGGAGCTCGCTTTGCGTTGTCGATCGAAGAAGCACCATTACAGTCACAAGACTCAAAAGGTCGCAATCTTTGAGGCTTAGGGTGTAGTTTGCTTTTTTCGGGGTTTCGAGTTTATCGAATTTTTGAAATTCGAGAGGCGACCTTCGGGACCGTTTGTTGCCTTAAGATTTCGGGGTGTTTCCACCTGAAGCCAGGCCAGCGAGGCCGCATCGGAGTACGAGCCCTCCGGCAGCAATTCGGGATCCCAGGTATCCGGTTTAGCACGGGTTTCGGATTTACGGTTTCGGGACGCTCACCCCTAACCCCGACGACCAAGGAAGCACTCCGCACGTCGCGTGCATTCCAGGTTGTCTCCTAACATCTCTCTAAATGGGTAGTTCTCTAAATTAGAGTCGCTTTTGGGGTACTTTTTATTCGGGTGTCGCACTGCATTGGGGACCCAACAAAGGGACCCTAATTTAGAGAACTTCCCAAATTGAGACTCCGAGCCCCGAAATCATTGCTTGAAGGTTTATGTGGTAGGCTTCTCATCGCACTGAGGCTTCGCTCCAAGGAAGCCCTGAAACAGAAAGCCTTACGACCCCAAGAGTCTACCCTAGAGCCCTCAACCCGAAAATCAGAAGTCCTGAGAGCAGGGCTAAAGATTCTAAGGCTTCGGTCCTGCAGCTCTCGAATGCACCGAAAACCCCTACAACACAAAGACTCTCAACCATCTACCCTGACATCCGCTAAACCGGAAGCCCTCTTACACTCCAAACCCCGAAGCCCCCAAAGCCCCAAAACCCGAAACCCTAAACCCTCAACCCTAAATCCTAAATCCCGAAACCCTAAACCCTAAATCCTAAATCCCGAAACCCTAAACCCCAAATCCTAAAACCCGAAATCCCAAACCCCAAATCCTAAAACCCGAAACCCCAAACCCTAAATTCTGAAACCCGACATCCCAACTAAAACCCCCCCAAAGCAAGCTTCGGCCACAGCCAGGGCCGTGGCTCAAAACCGGAGCTTGGAGGCGCAAAAGGCGGGCTTTAGGGGGAAAGCCAGCTTATCGAAGGGGCTTTAAGGGGGGTTTTCGGGACTTTTTAGGCTTTTGGGGGCAAGAGGCTTTTAGGGTTTTTATAGGGGCTTTTTTGGGGTTTACAGGGGATGCGGGGGGTGGTTCAAGGTTTAAAGGGTCTTTAGAGATTTAGTGGCTTTTTTTTTTTTTGGGGGGGG